CAAATTCCTTTGTTGGCATATTGGACTTTAAAAAAAAAGACGGATTAATTTAACTGCATTTTCTTCAGTAAAACGTTGGGTTTTAAAAGGTCTTTGATTTGATTTTACAGTTAAACCGGTTCTTCATAGAATTCCAATATTCAATAATAGAGTCTCTGTCACACAAATACACATGCACCTCCTCTGCTATTTGTACATGCATTCTCAACACACTTTTGACATATTTTTTGATTCCTGTATCCGACATTTTAGAATTTATTCAAGATATTTCTTGGTAAACACAGAATTGGTTTTCCATCTGATGCAACGTGAAGTTCGAAAACGTCGTCCTTTTTGCCGTTTTCAATGAGGACTACCTATCTTCTCAAGTTGATTTCTTTTCAACATAGCAGAAAATTAAGCCGTAATTTGGATTACGGTTTGGTGTAACTATTCTTAATTTGAATTTCTAGAGGTTTTTTTTTTTTATTTTTACACCATTTTCTAGATAATATGACCACAGACATTATTTAGTGTATTGTCCGTATCTTTTTGAGCTGTTCCGCGATCCGATTTTTGAATTTTGAAAATCTCGTGATATAAAAAAAAATAATTAATACAAATCATCTGGATTTATTGTCAAAATATTTCAATCAAACTTAAATACTTATAATATATGACGTCAAATAAAAAAGTATGACAGAAATTCACGAACTTTTCAAACAACTCTATAACATTGATTTAAAGGAACATTGACACAGTTTCAACTGATAAATTTTAAATTTATTTTTCATTTTTACAAATATAAAACTAAGGTCTTTTTAATGATCGTCGAAAATTTTTGGTTCAGTTGTCGAGATACAAGATATTTAGAGCTCCAACACTTTGTTATGTAAACATGGCCCGTGTCATGTATTTTAGATTAATATAATATACGCCCGGTACTAATATGTGTTTATCCAAAGCAGATGTTTTCGATAAAAAGGTTAATTCTAAATTCGATTAGCAATATTGTCATATATGATTTAATTTATACCGCTATGTGAAATCTGTTACATTTTACACCTTCGGATAATTCCGCATATCCCTGCACAGTCGGCAGGATATCCGCCTTTATCGCAGACGCAATTATTATACAACCTTTCATTGCGGAACGCCTCCAAGGATTTACTCATTACATGTATGTTGTATTTTATGCATATATACATGTACATGTATATTTACACGTACTCTTATATATGACAAAATCGACAAAACTGAGTATCTGTGTTTGGTCAACTTTTACTGCACTATCAGGCAGCTTTTTCTCATAGACGGCATAAAGAAGTTTTTAGTGATTTGCTGAATTCATTTTTTATAGATATTATAATTTTGTTAATCAACAAAGGATTTCAAGTTTTTGCTGATTAATAGATGATGCCTCAGTTAATATGAATTGTAATCATTAAAACTGGTTTAAAACATTCAATTGAAGCTGTCTCCGTGTCCCTTTAAACCAAAGATTCATTCTTATTTTTGATTTTTTATTTCAACGTTCAATGCTTCCATTTTTATATAAAAAAAAAGAAAATCATATGCTTCATGCAATAATAATGTCGACATTTCTACACGAAATATAATAATGTTCGAATTTGAAAACTTGTATGAATCATTCTTTATTTAATATGTTTTCTAATATCCAAAAAGAGCACTCATGTTATTGGAAGAAGGTCTCATAGACTCAGGGTTAGTCCAGGTAATTAAACTTCTTTGTCCCTGACAGCCATATATCATTTCGAATTGCAAATAGCAACGGAATCATTTTTCCCTTATAAAATTAGGTCAGTGGAACACATTTTTTTAATCAGTCATGCTTTGTCTAGGTTTCAAAACTTTTTTTCTTTTGAAGTATAATTAGGCTATCCTTGCGAATAGTTGATGACAGTATAGTGCATGGAAAGAGATATATGCATAAATCTAGGTGAATTGTACAAGCAGTACAATATTGCAAACTCTCTATATCCATTTCATATTATGTTATATGTACTGCGTTGTAGCGACCTTGTTGTAAAGATTGTGTTGACATGCATCGAAGAAATTCTTGATCTCCATTCATGTGATTTTTTTTAAAAGAAAGGTCAAATTTCTAGGTAAAAAAAGTTATATGCAATATTTATTTTTACAGATAACTTAAATCTTTGGTGAATATCGGAAATATGTATATATAGTGACGTTAATTATTGCCAATTTCATTCTAATTGTATATGACGTCACATGTGTAAATTTGTGACTGAAAGACGTTAAAACATTCAAGGTTATGGAAGGGTAGTTTTATCAATAAAAAGATTATGAACAAAATTAAACAAATGTAGCATTTAGTCAGTTACTGTGAAATCACAAATTTTCGTTGGGGGTTTATTTTCGTTGTTTTCGAGGTATGACGAGACCCACGAGTTCATATCCACCACGAAATGTAAAATGATACATACATGAGTACTCATTAATTCTTGATCCACGAAATCAAATCCCCACGAACCAAGACATTTTCCTCAAACCACGAAAATTTGACCCAACGAAAATATGTGATTTAACAGTACATCACAAGTTCTGTCTCCATGGTAACTCTTTCTTGTGCAATCACTGTTGATTTGCTCAGAAATAGAACTTAAAAGAAAAATGTTGTTAATTTAGAAAGATTAGAGGGTGGGACATTTTACGATTTCCTTTTTTTTGTGTGTGTGTGCAATTTTTCGATTGGTCAAAGGAAGAGTATTATAATTGCATTTATCACCATTTAAGAAATAAACAACGTTATTTAGTGAACATGGCGTTATGAATAGCAATTGCTCTGCTGGCATATTCCATGATGCGCGCTAGCGCATCATGGAAAATATGCCAGCAGAGCTATTGCTATTCATATTGCCATGTTCACTGAATAATCTTTGTTAATTACTTATATTTGCATTCTTTGATTTATTCAAAAATATCAGAGGAAATCCTGACTTACATATAAGGACGCGGCTACTTGTCTTCAGTAATGAAAAACATACGGCTTTAAAATCAGTACACCAAATTAATGATACTTTTATCTGATAAATCACAAACAATTATAAAATATTTCCCTCTCAAACACAGTTATCTGGATACAAGCAGCGCCGTCAACACATTCTCTTAATTTTTGTTTTGATGCAGTCGTGACGTCATCGATCAATGTTATTGAAACCCCTCTAACATTAAATCAACGATTTAACACTATGATGAAAAATGATAATGCTTTTATAATGATTATTAATCCACAATGCTTTTTCTATTTTTTTTTTGTTCTTCTATTTATTTTTAATAACTGAAATTATTCTTGAAGTCGATATACTAGTTATACTGGTTTTCTGAATTTTATTACCCAAGTGTGAAGAGTTATCGTTCTTTGAACAAATAAACATGATACAAAAAATAAAAATAGGGCAGTTTTCTACAATTTTTAAAAAGTTTTATTATACAATTAAATACATTGACCAAGATTAAATTTTTAAAGATATAAATCAGCAATTTTAATTATTCTGAATTTCTTTTTTCTCAAAGAATATTATTAAAAACTTATTTTTATCCCTTTTATGAAAAGTTTCATATATATACTTCTCGACACGAGTATACAATTGTAGTAGAGATGGTTCTACAGGAATTTGATAGAGCAATTGCTCTCATAACAGAAGCAATTGCATCTATAGTACTATGAACGCAATTGATAACCACATGTTCATAGTGGGAGAGAACAGTGGATATGCAAATATAAATGTAATTTTACACCAAAAGTCCCTAGGATCTCTCTCACCCCTCTCAAAGTGTCCCGCCCGTTTGTTTTATTAGTATTTATTGTATTACATGTCGCTATTTTTAGCACAGGGGCATGAAGGAGAGTTATTATAAAACAGGTTCTCGGCGGACTTTATATTCTTATTACATCTATTAGAACTGTTTAATAAAGGTTAATTTAGACACCATGCATTTTGTAAAATTTTGACAGTATATCGAACGTGAATATACACATGTATGTGACTTAATGTTTGTATATAATTTTCGCCATATCAAAGCGGCTCCGTGGTCTAGTGGTATGTCTCTCGCTTCACAGGTGAGAGGGCCAGGGTTCACATCCCGGAAAATCCAATTTTTTTTTCGAAATACTTTTGTTTTACTAAATGATAGTATTCAGTATGTGAAATGAAAAATTTATGAGGTCTGGCTTGTACAAACTCATAAAATCATCATTACAGAGTGATAAATATTCCATATAAAAAGAATCTTCTACACACATAATAAAGAATAATCAATCAAACCTTTATATCCATATCGGCATATTTTATTTGCTTCAATATACATTTAAGAGTCAAAATCAGCAAGCATCGAGCATTTAGTTAAAAAATGTGGAAAGTGGCATAGAAACAGATTTGGTTAAAACTCATATATAAATTTTCAGAACAAAGGGTATGATAGAAAAAAGCGAGCAAAAAATAATTTTTCGCATTGTTGCTATGGAAACCACGCGCCTTTCAGATAGCGTGTTTTGTACTTTATCATGACACTTGAATTTATGGTTAAACAAGTACTTTTTTATTACTAGTCATTAAAAAAAGCTTTTTAAATTATTATTTTATTTATATAAATATACTCTATTTTAGCAACTGTTGATTTTTGAAATTCTCTTCACCTTTTGATTTATATAACTAGTTTTGGAGGTTTATTTTGCTTTAAAAAACAGCAAATTTGAAGTACTTTATAAGAAATCTACAACCACATTAAAGCTTATCAACATAAGATATTTATTCAACAGTATTTCTTCTAGAAGAATCAAGAAAAAAATCTGCAGGCAACTAAAGCATTTATATATGATAACTGATTTAAATCCACAATTTTCTGTAACTTTTGCTTCAAATTACCTCCCTTTGGTGTAGCTCTCTAACATAGGAGGAATAAACGGTAGTTTGCTTACATTGTTTTCAATCAACAATGTATAAAGACTAGCAGAAAATTACAGATATTGGAGCAGTCTGAGCCTCAGTTTTGGCGTTTTCATGAGTCTTAATTACGGTGAGTGATTGAAATTTTTACAATTTACCATTACAACAGTTACTGAAGAATGTATAGCATAAATTAACCATGCAATAAAATATCTAACAAAAGCACATTTTAATTTAATTCAATTAATTTTTTAGCATTACTTTAATATTTTATAACAATTTTGAAAAGGATAATGCATGGCCTGAGGAACCAGGATTTGGGTATCCCCCATAAATAAATTAGCCGATATTAAAGGGTATAATATATGAGCTTAAATCCCCAATTTTTAGATTGTATCTACGGGCCACGTGCCTTTGGTCATATGTCACATTACTTTATCCCAAATTATAAAGTTTAATTTGAATTTTGTTTAATTTTAATTTGTTAAATTCACGGTATGTATGTAGCCAAAGCTTTTTACCATTATAAATTTACTTTATTGATCGGGTAAATAAAAATTTTGTATATACGAGGGTTGTCCCATAAAATCGTGGACAAAACGTTTTTCTCGAAAAGTTATGGGCGCACTAAGCTGAGTTTTTCAGTAATTGTTTATTTATCATATTTAAGTGCATGATAATTTTTTTGATAAAATATAGGCAAAAATAAAGATTTCATTATGCTTGAATGTGCACGATGTATTGTCCTACGGCGCAAGGACAAAAAACCAAGGTTTTATTAAAGAATACACAATTTTGAATTCAAAATAAAAGTTTTAAATACATAAGATTTGGTTTAAAATTACCTAATTCCTTTGCACAATCAATTTTGTAGTCTTTGTAAGAAAAAGGCATTTGGTTAATTTTTAGCAGTTTCTCGAGCATTCGAAATGAAAGTAAACACAACACACGAAAAATTGAGACGTTTTATGACGTTACGGCGCACCAGAGAGCTGTTCCTTTTTAATACGATGTTAGGATGACACCTTTAGAGACTTGAAATGACCACAAAAGAAAAAAAGATTATAAAAATATATTACCATTTCTTAAGTATACAAATGAAATAGGAGTTTTCTTAGCGAAGTCATTTTTGATCGAGTCCCTTGCAAGTACAAAACATCTACGGACAAACTCCTAATGTTAGAGCAAAAGACGCTGTCACAGTAGACCGCCGATATGAGATTTCTATTCTTGAATGATGGTGAGAATATTGTCCGTAACTTACTGATAAATCTTAGAAGATCGCAAAGGGTGCCAATTAGTTCTTCGACTGTTTATGGAGACTAAAGAATGTGTATCAATGAAACTCCTAAATTTAAGTCGGACTCATCCAACTTCATTTTCAGCAAAGATAAAACGTGACGCTATTTTAGATACTTTGACGTTATAATCCATGCGCCGTAAGGTGATAAAATACATGGCATAAAATCACATAATTTGTTTATTTATGTATATATTTATCTGAAATTTGCTGTGTATATTACTAAAATATGTACTAAATAATAATAGTGAAAATTTCAGAACGCAGTGATGTTTATTTTTTACACTGACAACTTGTCCACGATTTTAACAACCCTTGTATGTAATAGTAGATATCTTTATTTATTATTTAAGATAATACCTGCTTTTTACATGAAAAATTATGAATTTATGAAAACCAACACTATTATGAAATATTTGTAAAATGGAATGACCTTTGTTGTGGCGTCCGTAAAAAAGAGAGAAGGGGGCAGGGGGTTAACTCTGTACTTAATATATTTCAGTTTAGGAAAGGGGATTACCTTGGAAGTATTGTCATACAGACAAATGTATTATGTACTGTAGTGGAGTAGTGGTAACTGAATTGTATATATATACCACAGTAAAATAATTAATAAAAAATAAAACTTTTTTTAAGCTGTTGTCATCCAGTGTTTACTCATAAAAGAAAATTCATATTCAGCTAGCATTTTCTCCGTACCACTGAACTAATTTAAGTCAACTGGGTTCAAACAATAAGCATCATGCATTAGATTTAAAGCACGTAAATTTATGAAATGAATATCTATACTCCATTTTTTTTTCTTGAAGAGGGGGGGGGTTTATTGGAAAGAAATGAAAAGCATGATTTAGAGTTTTGACAAAACCTAGAACCAATTGACCTTTTTATTGCAAGTTTTTAAATTTAAAGAATATCTAAAATCAATGTGCCATGGTCTCAACTTTGTGTTGCATACTTCTTTTTTTAGAATGAAATTCGGCACTTTGAAGCCAAACTCGGAAAGAAGCGGAAACAGAATTGAATGAGCTGATATAGAATTAGACAGGAAAAACATGTAAATAATACATTTAGTAAAAACGTTAACTTTTTAAAATAAAATGATAAACCATTGAGATTTCTTAGAATTTAGTTGATTCCAATAAACATGCTTTGCATTCATCATAATTCCCCAAGCTTAACTAGAAATGGTTCTAAGTATACTATATGACGGCAAAGCTGTATAATAATATTTTTATATTTTAATTTTATCACTTTTTTCAGATTATGAGAATACATTATTACAGTACAGACCATTGATGCTGGAAGTGAGTGGATAGTGTTACCGGAGACTCAGGGATCCAGAAAATAGATCCATAAATTGTACAGTGTATTCATGAAAGTGGATAAAATAAATGTTCAATCCAAGAGTAACATTCTTTGTTTGTCTGTTAGCATTTTTTATTGATGTAAATCTAATAACTATCAATTTTTAGCATGCAGATTCATAATCATTAGATAGTAGAAGAATCTGAAACATATCTTTATATTCTGCATTTTGAAGTATCATAATTAAAACAAGGTCAATATCAAATGATCAATCAATTAATTTCAAAACTGACAAAATGTTTTTGTGAGAAAAAAGAAAGAGCGCTTATTTATATATTGTTCCTAATGTACCACTGATGTTGGTGTGAGTGAAATAAAAATGATGATGATGATGATGAACTTGTTTAAAGTCTGACGACACGTTCCTCAAATATATGTTTTGTATCTCTAGGTATTATATCTGTAACAGGAAAGGAGAAAATGTATGGCTGGACCGGGAATCGAACCCGGGACCCCTGTATCTCTAGTCAGGTGCTCTACCAACTGAGCTATCCAGGCCGATATCCACGGCCCCAACCATTACATTCCTCCCTCCTTAAATGGTCTTCGCCCTCGAAGACGCAACCCAAGTTCTTATTGCCCCTGGCAGGACTTTCACCTGCAATTCCAGGGGTGGTCAACGGCACCAAATCTGTAACAGGAAAGGAGAAAATGCGTGGCTGGACCGGGAATCGAACCCGGGACCCCTGCACCTCCAGTCAGGTGCTCCACCCACCGAGCTATATCCAGGCCGATATCCACGGCCCTAACCATTACATATATATATATGTGTGAAATATTCATATTTGTCATTCTTTCTGATTTCTACATTGTTTTCAAAATGTTTTTAAATATAAGTACATTTGTACAACCAAAATTTTGATATATGCCATTTAAAGGATTTGCCCATTAGGGTTATTAATGAATATCTTTTAGGGTCAGTTCAAGTTTAGACATTCATACATATATATATATATATAGCCCTTCAAGGTGGGTTAACATCAGGTTATGTTGAGAAAAAAGTTTATTATTGTTAGCAAGCTCATAAAATGATACCCACCCTCCTGCTATTTCATTAAATGTTTTTTATTTCAAAAAAGGTCCAAATATTGATTTAAAACCTTTTTAAAATTTTGCTAGTACAGATATACATACCAAAAATGACTATGACATACATGTATACTCAAGTCATAGGTAGTAAAACCGTTGTATTGAGCACAAACTTCCAATTCTCTTCATTCGAAGTTAAATATGTAAATGTGCCAAACTCATATAGTACACTTTTACTGCAATGACCTTGAAAAAGCTATGTCCTTGAGTCAAGGTCAAACATGTCCAAATGAACTTTGTTCAAGGTCATGAAAAACCCACAGCTCAAAAATAATCCCCGAGATGAAACTTCAAGTCTTTTCATTAGAATGTTACAGAATGGGCAAAGATTGCACTATTCTTCTACCAATGACCTTGAACTTGTTCAAATGACCTTGGTTAACGTTTTTGACACATCTCTAGATCACAAGCAATCTTAATATCAAGTATGAACTTTCAGTTGCACTTCATTGAAATGTTATTGACAAGGCAAAATGTTACATACATATGGATGGGTGAAAAGGTGATTCCTACCCCCCCCCCCCCTCCTTTTCCAAGTATCGTTTGTGAGGAATATTAAATTCCTTTTGAAATTGAATGTGCATTTATTTATCAAGAATAGCAATATTATGAGTATGCTCTGATCAGAACCAATATGACCAATATATTGAACACTGTACATGTATTCAAATTACCCCCATCCCTTCAAAAAAAGCTTATTATTGCTAGATTTTCACACATTTTAAACCATTTGTAACTTTTTTCTACTAAAGTTGCCTGCAAATTTTATTGTATAGATATGACATATAGATAACCCCTAAGAAGATCACATCATTCATTTTTCCAGCAGTGGTTGTAGATTTTGTGTATATAGTGATAAACATATGTAATTTTCTTCCAAATTTATAAGCATTGACGCCATGTTCTTTTCCCGTTGTCATGGCAACAATATCACTAAAGAAATTTTGTTTTTCCTTTTTTTTTGGAACCCAAATATCTTATCTTATCACGTTCAGAAAACATATTCATAGAAAAATGTCAAAAAATCATTGATTTTCATAAGGATTTATGAACCCGTTGCTAAGGAAATGAATTTCCTTGGATACCACTCCCTTCATAGGTTCGAAAAAATTTTTAATTGTGTTTTAGCATTAGGTAAGACAATATCTTTCATATACCAAAAGCTTTTGAAAAAATAAAATTTTGACTTTCCACTCAATGCTCGATGCTTGCTGATTTTGACTCTTAATAATTCTACAAATTCAGTCAAGGGGATCATAACCCACCCCCGACCCCCGAACTGCGCATGGTTTACTTTTTCCCTAAGCGGGGGACACAGATTCTCTGAATTAGCTTGTTTTATACTGAATTAACTACCGAAAGTTCCGTCTTCCTAACCAATACATAGGAGTCACGAGGGGTATTAAAGGTCAAGAGGGGACGCTTAATCCTCATACGTACCCTGATCCACCTCTGGTATTTCCAGGGATCCGTGTTTTATACCCTCTTCACATATTTTTATTGTTTATAGAATTTTTTGAGATTGATCGTTGTTCGTTGTCTTTACCATTATCAATTTGCTAAAATTAAGTCTTCTTTGCAGGCCCTCAGGTTCATCAAAGATTCTTCGGGGATGCTTTGTTCTGCTGTTGGCTGCCATTTTATTTTACTTCATTGCTTTAGCATCCCCTTATTGGGTATACAAATCTGAAGGAGACCGATTTACCAGCCTTGGTGTCTGGAATTATTGTGATAACAATCTAAAAGTGTACAAGGACGTTGATTATCAAACCTGGTGTGCGAGCGTCCTTAGTTACCCATACCTGACGTCGCTTAATTCTGGTAAGAAAGTAAAGGTAGAATGCTTTAAGAAAGAACATAGATCCTTAATGCTTAAATAAAATAATCAGCAAAAAGCAATACCCTATATCTCACTTTAGTTCACATAGTCTCATTCACTGTTAAAAACATGAAGGTTTTATGCTATAAATAAGATTTTATTTTCATTTTTTAAAATTAAAAATCATAAATAACCGACTTTTAAACAAATAGCTTCGAGAAGGCAGTATTTCACTTGTATTAATCTGTGCGAAATCTTCAGTTCTTCAGATAGAAAAAATATTGATATATTAAACATATATTTTCATGGATTTTAATTGTCTATTAGGTTTGCTGAGGACTCTACAGGCAGTGGCAGTCATAGCGTTGTTTCTATTAATAACAGCAATATTTGCCTTGGGTATAAAAATGTTTCAACTGAAAGACAAAACCATCTTATTGGTAGTGAGCATGATTGCCAATGCTGTTGCAGGTATGTGATAAACCACTGTGTCACAATATTTAAGTCTTATAGGGAACTTGCAATGAAAAATGGAGATATAACAAACATCTACGAAGCTCAAAGGTCAATAGCAACAAAGCAGACCAGAAGGAGAGCAAACACAGGCCTCCTAAAACATCAGAGGTGGGATGAAGTGCCATGGAGGAGTAAGCGTCCCCTGTAGATCGGTCATAAGCGCAGTGTGCTCATTAATAATAATAATAATAATAATACTTTATTTAGAGAAGGTAACCCGATTAGTGCGAACACTAGTCTTCCTCGGGGCCTTCTTTAAAAAACACATATACAATGCATATATACAATAGATAAAATTACAATTATGAGACAATAAAAAATCAACCAGTATGTTACAAACAAATAAAAACATCAGCATTTCAGTATAGAGAGAAAGAAAAAAAAAATCACGCAGAATCATTGCGTTTTATAAGCAGAAAATTTTCAACACTTCTTTTAAATATTGCAGGGGATTGAGGATTTCTGATATTAATTGGTAACTCATTCCAGATAATAACCCCTGAATATTGTAAAGAATTTTTAAATAAGTTTGTTTTATATTTTGGTAGTCGAAGTTCGGAATTTGTTTCTGAGCGTAAAGTGTATGATCCAGAACTTTGAAATTCAAAAAGATTATGCATATAATCAGGAGACATTCCATGAAATATTTTGTACATTAAAATGCTTTTCTGTAAATATAAAAGTTCATAAACTGTTAGCCAACCTAAAGTGTTAAATAAAGGCGTTGAAGGTGTATCATATTTTTCATTTAAAATAATCCTAGCTGCTTTTTTTTGTAATCTTTAGATTCTGTCCATGTGTGTTTGAGGACAATTGCCCCAAATGGATAGACAATATAAAATCGATGGCAGGATAAAAGCATTATAAAATAGTTTTCTAGTACGCATTGGAAGAAACTTTTTGATTTTTCGTAAAGTAAATAATTTATATGTAAGAGTTTTGCAAACTGCATCTACATGACAAGTATATTGAAGATTATGATCAATGTGAACACCTAATAATTTTTGCATTTCTACATTTTCAAGGGGATGATCGGAAAGTTGTAAATGAAAATCAACGTTTTCTAATTTAGATTTCTTTTGGTGTGTTCCCATTAACATACACTTTGTTTTATCAGTATTTATAATCATCTGATTTTGTTGACACCATTTTTGTATTTGACAGAGTTCATGATTAAGAGTGGTTTCAATACGCGAAATACTATTATCATGAAGATGCATTGTAGTGTCATCAGCAAACATATCAATATTACAATGTTCAAAAGACAATGGTAAATCATTAATATACAATAGAAACAACAAAGGACCTAAAATAGAGCCCTGAGGCACACCTGCTGTGACTGGCAGTGATTCAGATGTGTACGCACCAATTTTAACACTTTGAGTTCGATTATATAAGTATGATTTAAACCATTTAATTGATATTGGATCAAAGTGATAGCATTCAAGTTTTTTAATTAGTATATCATGATTAACAAGATCAAATGCTTTGCTAAAATCCAGACATGTAATACCTACAACATTTCCTTTATCTATTGCATGCAACCAATCATCAGTTAGTTTTGTGAGAGCTGTCTGGCATGAGTGAAGTTCTCGAAATCCAGATTGTGCTTTCATTAGCAAGTCAAAGTGAGAAGTAAAGATGCGTATATTTTCTGCTACATGCTTCTCCAAAACTTTCGATATCGTTGGTAAAATTGAAAGATTGGACGATAGTTTCCTGGGTCTGATTTATCGCCCTTTTTAAACAAGGGAGTTACTTTTGCGACCTTTAACTGTGAAGGAAAAGATCCATTGATTATGCTAGAATT